CTGTTTGAGTTGCCCGTCTGTTTGAGAAACTCACAAGTCAATCAGGCTAGGAAGGTTGCCAATAGTTGTTGGTATGGGGCCAGTCAGATTCCCATTCCACAAAATTCTGCAATTTGAAAAAGCAAGTAGTTACGGGAATATTACAGAATATGCGATATAGTGAACGTTTTTATGAATTGAAATGTTTTTTTGTTTCGTAAAGGGACGAGACGAGGTCAAGAGGTGCTTCTAACAGGTGGCACTGCAAGAGAAGAGAAGGCATTCAAAGCATACAACAGCTAAATATGCACCCGACCAGAGGCGGCCACTTTGGTACACACAGATTCTTGGACTGGAGTCTTCGCCAAACAGGTTCTTGTAACAAATATTTCTTACCTTTGTTTGACAACCCAGTTTGGTTTTAACACAGGCACTCAGGTTTAGAATGAAAATGGATGTTGTTGGGTGCAAAACAGAATTGGCATAGCAAACTGCAGAAGACTCTTTGAAATCATTATTCTAAAATTAGACGTGAGCAGGGGGGTGAGAATTCGGCCAAATGTGCAGCTTGATTCGATCCAGCCATGCTCAGACAGCTCTGAAGCTACCAAATGCGCTGCCTCCGGCTAGAAAAGCTCAATCTTTAGAGCCAAGCGAGCAAGATGCCTTTTGAGGCGCATCAAGCAGAAGCCCAGGTGGGGGTATCACTCACAAGTGGTCAAGGCTTTGGAGATTGCTGATAGAGTCCGGGATTGAGCCGCCGTTCAAGTTGACATCAGAAATACTTCTGATGAGCGGACATTGGAACGGAGGGGAGGGTAATTGCAACAGTATTAGAGATAGAATATGTTGCTCGCATGCTTTCGATGGATAATGTGCCTGCGTTCGTGCATATGGCATGAATACGCGGCAAGCGTGCATGTGAAATGCGAGTATGCATGTGGCGTGTATGCATGTATGCATGTATGCATGTATGCATGTATGCATGTATGCATGTATGCATGTATGCATGTGGCGTGCGTGACTATGCTGAAAGCAAGGATGTGACGTGAATATGCTGCATGCTAATGGCATCATAACATACAATATGAACATCAATTTCTTGGAAAAACCAATTCCACCACATAGACTGCTCATAGAAATCACGAAAACTAGTTTAACTATAAGGATTATATGTAACGGCGATTTCAAGCTAGTAGAGGTGGACAGTGGAATGACAAATAACAGAGAGTATATTAGAAAAGGACGATGGAGAGATAGCGAGTCAGGGAGAACATGGGAATGTGCATGCGAAGCGAAGGGAGAGACGGGTTAATGAAATAGGTGCGGGGAGCGATTGACGGACAGAGGAAGCACTGATGGGGGGAAGGAGGGGTTGGGGGAAGAGGGAGGGAATGGGGAGTTGGCGATTGGGGGAAGGGGGGTTGGGGGACGAGATGAGGGGGAGCTGGGGAGCTGGGGAGTTGGCGATTGTTGGGAAGGCTGAAAGGAGCAGTGGCAGATTCGAGGAACAAGTAGAGTCGCGGCTCGTCTCGAGTGTTTTCTCGAGCCATGCCATGCCATGCCGTGCCGTGCCATGCCGTGCCGTGCTGTGCCGTGCCACGCCATGTCATGCTATGCCGTGCCGTGCCGTGCCATGCCAAACTGTGCCGTGCCATGTAATGCCATGCCATGTCGTGCCATGCCGTGCCATGTCATGTCATTCCATGCCGTGGCGTGCCGTTCCATGTCATGCCATGCCGTGCCGTGCCATGCAATGACATGGCATGTCGTGCCATGCCATGCCATGTCGTGCCATGCCGTGCCATGTCGTGCCGTGCCATGCCATGCCGTGCCATGCCATGCCATGTCGTGCCATGCCGTTACATTTCATGCCATGTCGTGCCATGCAGTTACATTTCATGCCATGCCGTGCCATGCCCTTCGGTTGCGACGAGGGCCACTTAAGTTATTGCTGCTTTTCATAACAAGGGAACTAAGGACGATGGATGGAGGGCAGAAGAGGCGGAGAAGAAAGAAGAAAGCGTGGTCCCTGTTTGCTGAAGCATCAGGGTCCTGGTGGGCCCACTCCCATCCCATGGCTTTTACCATCTCACCCCCAAAAGTCCACTCACATCTCCGTTATCATGCCCTGGGAATCGCACTTGAGGCCGCTTGCTTTGTCGCAAACCCCACCAACCACCCAGCCATTAAAAGTTTTGCCCCACGCCTTCTGACAGTCCAGCAGGACTTGCGCTGGCGGCAGGAGGAGAGGAGGGGAAGGGGCCAGTGGAAGAGAAGAGTTGAGAGAAGGGCAGGGAGTGGAAAGAAGGGATTCAAACGGTGGTCCAAACACCACTCTCGATGCATGCCCTCCCACATCTCATCACATGCCCTCCACTCATCACATGCCCTCCTCGCATCACATGCCCTCCTCTCATCACATGCCCTCCTCTCATCGCATGCCTTCGTCTCATCATATTCCTTCCACCTCTCTCGTCACAATCCCTCGCACCTCATCACATGCCCAGCCCACCTTCTGCCAGGGATGAGTGAACAGGGAAAGACAGATAACTATGAATCATATCCTCTCCCCTTCCCTCCCCTCTCCTCCCCTCCCATCCCCTCCCTTTCCCTGCGGCCCTCCCCTTCCCTCCCCTGCCCTCCACCCCACCCTCCTCCCATCCGCCGCCTCCCCCCCCCTTCCAGGCCCTACCTCCGTCCCTCCCCTCCCTTCTCCCGCTTCCCCCCGCCTCCCCTCCCCTCCCCTCCCCTCTTCCTCATCCTCCCCTCTCACTCTCCTCCCCTCCCCTCTCCTCTCCTCTCCTCTCCTCTCCTCTCCTCCCCGCTCCTCCCTATCATGATCCTACAATCACTCATACTATCCTCCGCACTAAACGAACGCCGTTTCGACTACGCATTATCTCATCTGTATTGACGAATACGTTGGAGTTCTGTACTTGTTCAAAGGCGCGTCCCTGCACGAACTTCATTTTCATTTTCTCTGATTCATGGAGTGGCGTATGGTCCTCAGATGATGGATTCGCGGCGACGATTAAAATCATGGTGATTTTGTAAATATCCCAAAAATAACACATGAAGGGTTTCACACGCCACGATGGCAATGAGAGAGGCCGATGCCGCGGGCGCGCAGTGCACGTACTGACTTTTGAGTCGACTCAAAGTCAACGCGCAGTGCACGTGTCCGCTGACTCTATAAAAAGCGGCTCGGTGAGTGAAACCTCGAGGCGCGATGCGGGAAGCCCAGCTCGACTTCACGCTGAGAAGTCGGCACAAGCTGACTCAATCGCTCAAATAGTTTGAATGAACTCAAGAAACTCTAATCACGCGACAGGTCGTGAAGAGACAATAATGCTAATTTAGCTCAATAAGTCGCGATTGCGCGGCACGCACCCTGGGACTTGGCGAAAAGCACGCAATCGACGCATGAGAAGGCGCGACATGTCAGCAGCAGCGCGCCGAGCAGAAGGGCTGCTGCGGGCTTCATTACGCCCCGATGGTTGCGGCAAGAGAGATCCCACTGGAGATTAAGTATCGCTTTGCCTCGTAATAAAGTATCGCTTTGCCTCGTGTCTGAGGCGTATACTCAAGTTGGGACACCGTCCGAGGTTCTCCCAAGTGTTTCGAAATGTTGACGTGGAGTTATCCGAGGTGCAAAGTTTCCCCACGCGTTTCGAGGTCTGGACACATTGAGATCAACCGACGACGGTGTTAACGACAGCATTGACCGTCAGTGTGCGACCTCAGCGTCCTGCCATTAGTGGTGCCGTCAATATTCCTTTTTACTACTGCCCACAAAATCGAAGCTGTGCGTCCCCTCCAATTCAAACATGACATTTACGAATACAGAAGCGAATTGCTAGCCAGTGTAACCTATAAATCCACGATTCATGTTTCCTAGTTTGTTTACAATGCCCGAAATTCAGGCAGTTCTGTTTCATTCTTGGCAAGCACGTTGGGTCTTTCCGCTTCGATGAGAGGTTTTTTTATTGGTCGCGAAATATCTGGCGGTTGGACACCTGTCAGGCGACGCTGGCGACCACCTTCGCCCCACCAGGACACCATCAGCCTCGTATAAACGGTATGGTGGGGAACTTCGATGGTGTCCCAACTTGAGAACGCGGCCTAAGTAAAATCTGCTGAAGGAAGGCACGAGCACAAGCGTGGATGCAGCGCCGCCGTGGCCAATGGCCTGAGGCGGGGGTGGGGGTTGGTGCGAAATCTCGGCCCTGCTCGACAGGCACGCAAACCCTTCCGCGGCACGTTCGCGGCTGTTTCCCTTAGGCTTTTTTAGAACGGTCAGCCCGCAATCTGGTGCCTCTGGGCTTTAACGCTCTGTAACATGAAGGGTTGGGTTAGCCTGTCGAACGCGACGTTAACCCTTCAAGCTCACCCCCCCCGAAAGCTCCCAGCCCCTTCTCTCACGCGTAGACTTTAGCCTAGCTCATGGTACAGTATTGGCAGACCTGAATGATGGCTGTTTCGTACCAGACAGGTAGCTCGACACTTCTGCCTTAGTTGTTATGGATGCCATGCCGCATCAGCTATTTGGTTTGATTCTACACCTAACCAGCACAGAATCTTTTGAAGGATCATTCGCTGTAGTCTTGTAGGTGTAAAAATCGCATGACTAAACCACATGATACACCATCCCCATTGTAAGTGAATCTCCTAAGAAATACTCACACTGTTTTGCAAGTACCCGTATTCATCTTCAGGGGCCAACACAGCTTTGTTACCTCACACGATGAGGTTGGCATGGCAGAGGAAATAGAATGCATGCCAAAACTAGGCAAGTGATATTGTATGATTCAAAAAAACATTCGGATGGTATGGTATGAATCAAGCCCAGTGTGGAGGATGACGGCAGCGATTACAAAAATACCTTGTCTACACCTCATCAGTGTGCCAACCAGTAGCACATGGCGGCAGCGAGGAAGGTGGAGACAGAAAATGGTGCATTGACAAACAAGCAGGTTCAAACAGGAACTATTCAAACGACAAACACGACAATACAGTGTCTACACCTCATCAGTGTGCCAGCCAGTAGCACATGGCGGAACGGCAATGAACTCGTCGAAATCGTTCACAAATACTCCACAGCATTGCCACTGGGAAAGAAAAGGCGAATGGAGAGGGGGAAGAGGAGGGGGGAGAGAGGAGGGGAGGGGGGGGGGGAGTGAAGGAGTGGTAACATGATGATGGGTGTGAGCGGCGGCATCGGCACAGAAGGAAGGAACGGTAAGGAACTCATTGAAATGATTCACAGATACTCTGCAACATTGCCACTGGTAAAAAAGGAACGGGTGCAAGGGTGGGGGGAGGAGTGGTGTGGAAGCATGATTATGGGTGTGAGCACTGGCATGGGTAGGGGAGGGAGCATGAATTGGGTTACTAATCGCCAATCCATGCTCTTACTCCAATCCATTCACTTATTCCAATTCATGCACTGACTACAATCAATGCAACCAATACACTGTTTATCGCTGTGATAAAACCTGACCAGCTTAGAATGGCATGACTGCAACAGGCATATCATTGCACCTCGCTTGCCTCCTATTCACACTCAGCCTCCCTTTACTGTACCGACTCACCCCTGCACCCTCAATTGACCCCAACACCCTCAACTCACCCCTCGCTTTCTGTCGTGGAAAACAGCGGGGCCCGGGTGGTGCTTGCAGGCGCCATCGCTGTTGTCTATCTCCCGGTACTTGGCGCCACACCCCTTGTTGCTGCACGTGCGCTCTGCATTGATGTCCCACGAGGGTGGCCGGGAGGGCTGGGGGGGAGCAGCAGCAGAGGAAGCTGCAGGGTGTAGGGAGGAGTGGGTTTCAGGGAGGGCGGATCAAAGAGAGGGAGTTGTGAATCTCCCGGTATTTGCCGCCACACCCCTTGTTGCTGCACGTGCGCTTTGCATTGATGTCCCACGAGGGTGGGCGGGAGGGCTGTGGAGGAGCAGCAGCAGATAGACCTGCACGCGGGAGGGAGGAAATGAGTGGTCATCATAGGACTTTCATTCAAGGCGCCACACCCCTTGTTGCTGCACGTGCGCTCCACGTTGATATCCCTTGAGGGCGGGCGGGAGGGCTGGGGGAGAGAGGCAGCAGATGAAGCTCCGGGGAGCAGGGAGGAGGGGGAAAGGGAACCGAAGCTTGGATTGACTCATTCTGTCTTCCTTCCTTTCTTTCGTTCCTTTTCCGGTCTTTATGAATAAGCTCGCGAATTGCATCAAAATTGCAAATCCTGAAATGACACACGATTTTCTTTCCCGGTCAACCCCGAAAACAATAATCCAGCGCCATGCTTCAAAACGCATATCAAGCGTCAAGCGTGATGGCTGCACACCACATGCCATTGCGTGCACTGCACATCCTGGTGTACTGGTATATGGCATGTAGTCATAATCAACAGCAACTGCACGTGCTCATGTCACTCACCTTGCCGTGCACTGTGATCAGAGCAGAAGAAGCCCTGAGAGCACCGATTGCACGCTGCCTGCTGCTGCGACGATGCTGCTGCGGATGATGAGACTGCTGCTGATGGTGCTGCTGTTGCCGCAGTTGCCGCCTCTGCTGTCACTCCTGTTGCTCGAACTGGGGATGGCATTGCTGGTGCTGGCGATGGTGCTGCAGGGGTTGATGGCTTGGGCTTCTCTGTGGTGTGCTTCCCGCGCTTGCAGCTGAGATGAAACCCAGAGGAATGGGGGGAAGGCAAGGCAAGAGCAGAAGGTTGGGAAGAAAAGCGCAGGTGACTCAACAGCAAATACAAACAGGCACAGTCATTGGATTCTGATGGACAGAAACATCCAGCCAGGAGGAACATATACGCTGCTCCATAGATGAAAAAATGAAAAACAGATGCATAGAGATGAGTCGTGACAAACAAAGGGACGTGCACGCATGCAGGTAGGACAAAAGTGCGAGTGTCAAGGTGCTCTGGAGAAAATTCCACACGTTAACCTGATGTGGATTGGATTGGTTGTATGCGTTACCCTGGGATGGAGAGGAAGAGCGAGAAATCGTGGCTTTGCTTGTGGCAGCACATCCACTCCTTGGTGCCATCGTGGAATACTGGCTGAGGGGGTGTGGGAGGAGGAGGGGGTGTGGGAGACCCAAGGGAGCAGCAAAAGACACGAAAGCTCAGGCTTTGCTGCTTGTGGCAGCACATCCACTCCTTGGTGCCGTCATGGAATACCGGCTGAGGATGGAAGCGGAGGGGGAGCGGGCGCAGAGAGTGACTCAGAACTGCAGGCTTCGCTGTTGACAGCACATCCACTCCTAGGTGCCGTTGTGGAATATTGGTTGTTGGTGAGAAGAGGGGGGCAGTGGTGGGGAGCCAAGGGGAAGCGGGGGAGGGAGAGGGAGGGGAAGAAGAAGTGGTCAAGAGAGGCGAGAGGGAACTAGCACCCCTGAAGTTTAGACACGTGCAAGCAGCCCATCTGCCCACCTGCCCCTCTGCCCACCTGCCCCTCTGCCCATTTGCCCCTCTGCCCATTTGTCCATCTCCTCATCTCGTCACCTGTTCATCTCTTCATCTCTTCATCTCTTCATCCATTCGCTTCTATTGATACAAGCATCTCTTTATACTTCATCTCTTCCTCTCTTCGCCTCTTCACTTGCTTAGATCTCTTCATCATCTATCGCCCATCTCTTCAGCTCACGTCATCCGCTCATCCGTGCATCCGCTGAAGAGCATACCGGCTGATCGAAGAGCAAGAGATGATGCGAGAGTTGATGTCAAGAGCAGGTGTTGATGTTGTGAGCCGATCACGCCGCCACGCCATGAATTTCAACCCAAACACCCCATGCGGCGTGGGCAGGGGGGGAGGAAGACCGGAGAGCGAACAAGTGAATTAGACGCGTAGAAGAATGGGGCATGTGGTGCAATGAGTAGTAGGGCATGGGGAATGGAGGAAGAGTGCAAAAAAATGATGAGGTGAATTAGGCAAATGGTGCAGGATCCAGGAACGGTACATGTGCGATGGGTGTTGCGATGGAGCATGTGATGCGATGGGCATGGGATGCGATGGGGTATGTGATGCGATGGGGTATGTGATGCGATGGGGTATGTGATGCGATGGGGTATGTGATGCGAAGGGGTATGCGATGGGATGGGGCGTGCGATGTGATCGGGTATGTGATGCGATGGGGTATGTGATGCGATGGGGTATCTGATGCTATGGGGTATGTGATGGGATGGGGTATGCGATGGGATGGGGAATGCGATGGGGTATGTGCTGCGACGGAGCATGCGACGGCACAGATCGCGCAGATTGCTGGCGACGCCAGCGGTACGACACAGGCAAAGCTAGGCGCAACCGTCAGAGCCTCTTGAGACGCGACAAGTGGCTCGCGCGACTGTTAGAACCGGGTTATTACCATACGCCAAAGCATGTGTGAGGGTATTGAGACGGTCTCAAAACTCGCGCGACTGCTATAGCCCTGGTTGCCTAGTAGGTCTATTACCTCACACGTCAAAGCACGTGTGAGGGTATTTACCCCTGGGTGGTAGCAGCAGCTCGTGTCGTCGTTTTCCGCGTCCGTGAAATACGCGTCACACCCGATCCTCTCGCACCGCTTCCTCCCCTCCGCGTTTATCGCGGCCGACATGGCGGATACTTATACAACAGAGCGAAACAGGGCGACAGGGCGAAACGCTCTTTTATCCTTTGAGATCGGCGAGCTACTAGGTCGGGAACGTCTGCAAGAAGAAGCGCCTGATATTACACGAGCGCCAATAGTCCGCACGCGCGTTCACCGCAGGCGGAATGGCAGGAGTACTTATAGAATAATTTGGAGCCGCACCAAACGTCGCCAAGTATAGGGATGAGAGCGTGGAGGAAGACGCGCCTAAATCTCCCGATTGAGCAGCGCTTCGGCTGCTGTCACGTTTCTAGGATCGTGCGACTCTCCTGTCAATTGTCGAAATTGACACGATAAGAGAGGACTCGCGTGGGTCGTACCAGGAAAGTGAATTTACTACACTCGAAGGAAGGCGAGTTTAATTCATCATTAAAGCTGAAGTATACATTTGTGGGCAGGGTTAGGGTTTAGGGAGTGCGCCCCACAGGTTTGGAGCAACTTTTCAAATTTCAAAAGATTTTGAACCCCTCCTTTCAAATGTATACCTCCACCACCCTTGGAAAGGACTATGCTGTGGTTGTCATAATGCACTGTTATTGCCTTCACCATTACATTAGCGTCACGGTATTGTATATACCATGGTAAAATATATATAATTCTGGCAAATTTTCATTTCCGAGCAGCAACATCAGAGCGAGACATGGACAAGCGAAAAGGGTTACCGCCACCCGCTGAGAAGAGCTACCACCCGCTGACAAGGGCTACCACCCGCTGACAAGGGCTATGGTACCTACTGCCCACTGAAAAGGGGTACCTACCTACCGCCCACAGACAAGGGTTACCTACCTACCGCCCATCCTCTCATATCCACACTGCCATGCCAACCACTCCCCTTATCCCTCCTCCTCCCTGCCTTCTCACCCTATGAGGCCCACCCCCCACGCCTTTGCCTCATGCCATCCTACAAGGCCCCGGCTCTCATGCCTTGCTCCATGCCACACTGTGCAGGCTGTGCCATGCCAATGTCTCCCTGCGTAACGGCCCAGGTGCCTGTGCTGATTTTTTAGGCACCTCAATAAACTGTGCAGGCTGTGCCATGCCAATGTCTCCCTGCCTAACAGCCTGTGCTGCCAGTGGCGATGCACACGCAACTTGACACTGACCGTGTATAAGCCTCATCTGCCCCTCAATGGGGGTTATGGAGCAATTTCCTACACATACGGTTCCTACCCCTGTGCCACTGCCACCCGTCCCACTGCCACCCCCTTGCACTCCTGCTCTTCCTGCTCCTCCAGCTCCCCCCTTTCCACTCATTGCGGCCCTCCTCCTCCTCCTCCCCCTCCTCCTACTCCCCCCCCACCTGCAGCAGCGATCTCCTTCAATTTTTGCACAACGAGGCTCATCTCAGGTCGCTTGCTCGGCTCCTCCTGGCTGCACTGCAGCGCCACCAGCAGCAGCCTCTTCGCTGCACCCGCTGAGAACTGCCCCTTCAGCCGTGGGTCCACCACCTGGCTTATATGAAACCCTTCCGCCTTCCTCCCCTCCTGCTGCCCCTGCTGCTGCTGCTCTTCTCTACCTTCTGCTGCTGCTGCCGCTGCTGCTGATGCGGAATCCCCCCCTCCTCCCCCCCCTCCCGCACCTTTTTTACCCCGGGCCAGCTGTTTGTGGATCCAGGGGAAGAGGCGGTTGTGCGTGGTGGTGATGGCGGGGGATCGACCGGTGAGCAGTTCGAGGAGAACCACGCCCAGGGAGAAAACATCGCTCAGAGGGGTGAGGTGACCTGGGAGTAGGGGAGGGGGATGGGGTTGACTCACAAGGGGTGACCCGCTCGAGGAGAACCACGCCCAGGGAGAAGACGTCGCTCAGCGAGGTGAGGTGGCCTGAGGTGGGAGAGGGGAAATCAAATTACTTTTGAATCGCCTGAAAAGACTCCTGGGCTGGTGACCAGTTCGAGGAGAACCACGCCCAGGGAGAAGACATCGCTCAGCGGGGTGAGGTGACCTGACGGTGGGGAGGGGAGGGGAGATTGGAGCATGCAGGTAGAGAGAGTGGCGGGTGTGGTCGGAGCGAAGGGGAAGGAGGTACCCATGGACCCACCCTGATACGAGTAGACATAAACCTTTCCCCTCCTCCCCTCCTCACCTCCACACCAAGAAATCACGTCCACATCCTCGTTACAAGCCTGCCCACCTGTGTCGATATAGTCAGGGTCGAGGTACCCCAGGGTGCCCATGATACGAGTCGACACATGCGTCTTTCCCTCCTCCGGTCCCCGTGTGGCCATGCCAAAGTCCGTCACCTTTGCCCTCAGCTCCTGGTATCACAAAACGAATATGTGTGGGAGAAGAGGGGGGAGAGGAGAGGAGATGAGGTGGGAAAAACACATTGAGTCGCTGCAAGTCCACCCATGCCCATGGTATCGTTCGATACTGCTTTCCCAGTTAGCCCTCCTACCCTCCCACTTACCCTGTCCAGCATCACATTATGGGACTTGAAATCCCCCGGTGATTGATATTCTGCCCGTAAAGATACGCCAAGCCAAGCCAAGCCCAGACAGGTGCGCTCTTCCCCAACACACCCACAATCCCACTTACACTGTCCAGCATGACATACTGTGAATTGAAATCGCGGTGAATGAGTTCTGCCCGTGCAGATACGCCAGGCCCTCCGCCATGCCCACCGCTCCACATATATAAGATGGAAATCCTAAGAAGCCACCTGTAGACCCCCCCTCCCACTTACACTGTCCAGCATGACATTATGGGACTTGAAGTCACGGTGAATGATGTTCTGCCCGTGCAGATATGCCAAGCCCTCCGCCATGCCCACTGCCACGTGCACGCGCTGCTCCCATGTCAGACACGGGCTGTCCGGGGAGAGGTCTGGCGGGACGAAGAAGGGATTGATAAGATGGGTGGGAGGAGAGGGGTTGGGGAGGGATGGCAGTTGGATCTGGCTAGAAGCGAATGTGATGTGCTAGGCCCTCCACCATGCCCACTGCCACCTACACTCGCTGCTCCCATGTTAGGCACGGGCTGTCTGGGGAGAGGTCTGGAGGGAAAGTTGAGGTGGATGGGAAACAAGGAAGGGGAAATTGGTTGAAATTGGATACGCCAAACGCAAGCCCTCGCTCATACCCACCAGCTACTTTCGAGGGCTGCTCCCATGTCAGCCACGGGCTGTCAGGAGAGAGGTCTGGAGGGGTGGTCAGTGTGGTGGGGAGGATCGACAAGGGGGAGGAAGGGTGGGGGAGGGGAGGAAGATAGGGAGTTAAGAATTGGTCGGAAGTGAACACGCCAAGTGCACCCACTGTCAGGCATGGGCTGTCGGGGGAGGGGTCTGGAGGGATGCTCGGTGCGGAAGGGAATCCCAACAAGGAAGATATGCGCGTGGGAAAGGGAAAAGGAGTTGAAGGTTGGTGGTTGTTGAACATGCGGGGCTGGTGAGAGGTAGAGGTCTGGGGTGGTGATGGTTGGTGTGGGGCGGATCAACAAGGGGGGAGGTACGGGAGGACGGTTGGGTATGGGGGGGTGTCGGAGTTAGCTGCTAGCGAATACGTCAGGGGATCCACACTCACTGACTGATGCGTCTGTTGACAATGAACAGTGCTACATTCATTCAACATCAAGCGTGCCAGTGGTCTAGTGGTAGAATAGCACCCTGCCATGTGCCCGGTGCAGACCCGGGTTCGATTCCCGGCTGGCACATGTTGTTTTGCTCCTTTTTTTTTTTTATCCCTCCCACCGCCCTCTTCGTCCTCTCACTTACCGATTGGGTGCAGCCAGTGGTGCAGGTCCCCTCTCTCCACCAGCTCATACACCAGAATGGCCCGGCTGTCCTCCATGCAGTACCCCAGCAGCTGCACCAGGTTGGGGTGCCTCAGATCGCCCAGCACTAGGATCTCCGCCTGTGCAATGAAGGACGCATGGTAGGGGGAGGCGAAACGGGGTGGGGATGAGTAGGAGAAGCAGCCGCAGCAGGTTGCGCCGCAGCCGCAGCAGCGGCCGCAGCAGGCTTCCCAGCATGAGGAGGATGTCCGCCTGTGGGGTGAAGGACGCGGGATGGGGGGGGAGAAGAGCAGCATTGCCGCCCCGCATGCAGTATCTAAGGATAACAGCTGCACCTGATTGGGGTATTTAGGGACTCAAGGTGACAGGTGAAATGGGCAGTAGGGTGGGTGGGTGGGGGGGTAGTCTGGTAGAGGCTGCAATTATAGATGAACTGAACAGAAAAACCATATGTGATCACCATTCGACTCAATGACTCCTTTCCCTGGCCTTGCCTTTGCCTGCCCTCGCCTTTCCCTGGCCTTGCCTTTCCCTGGCCTCGCCTTTCCCTGGCCTTGCCTTTGCCTGGCCTCGCCTTTTGCCTGGCCTCACCTTTTGCCTGGCCTCGCCTTTTGCCTGGCCTCACCTTTTGCCTGGCCTCGCCTTTGCCTGGCCTCGCCTCTCACCAGGGAATCGTCAAACGCCTTATGCTGTCAGTGTGAAGCACCTTCACACCGCAACCTCTCCCATTCCCTCAAGCCCATCCTCTCCCCCTCTCTCCCCCCCCCTTCCCTCCCTCTCCCTCCCCCCCTTCCCCATTCTTTTCCCTTCTGCCCCACAAAATAGACAAAATACAAACTCTCACTTCCGTCACTCCTGCGAGGACTCACTCCGTTCCATGTTCCTTTCCTCACCCCTTTCTCAGTGGCTCACTAGGCAATCGTCAAACGCCTTGACGCTTTCAGTGTGAAGCACCTTCACCGCCCCCTCTCCCCTTCCCCCAAGCCCATTCTCTCCCCTTCTGTCCCCTCCCTCACCAGGCAGTCATCAAACGCCTTCACGCTCTCAGTGTGAAGCACCTTCACCGCCACCTCTCTCTTGCTGCCACGTGGCAGCTCTCCCAGCCACTCGTCCACCTGCCCGCGAAAAACGGTCCCGAAGCTGCCCTTGCCCAGCTGCAGGGACGCATTGAAGTACCCCGCTGCCTGCTGTAGCTCACGGTAGGAGAAGCGCCGCAGAGGAGGAGGGTTGGAGGAAGGCCCTTGGCCAGCTGCGGGGAGAGAGGGTTAGAGGGGTAGGGTGTGAAGGGAGGGAGAAGAGAGGGAGAAGAGAGGGAGAGAGTAAGAGACCTTGCCTTGCCCCGCTGCAGGGACGCATTGAAATACCCCGCTGCCTGCTGCAGCTCGCGGTAGGAGAAGCGGCGCAGAGGAGGAGGGTTGGAGGAAGGCCCTTGGCCAGCTGCAGCTGCAGGTGGGAGGGAGAAGAGAGGGGGAGAGAAGGAGAAGAACGAAGGGGAGAGTAAGGCCCTGCCATTGCCCCGCTGCAGGGATGCGTTGAAGTGCCCCGCTGCCTGCTGTAGCTCTCGATAGGAGAAGCGCCGCAGAGGAGGAGGGTCGTAGGAGGGCTGACTGTGCGCTGATGGTGACAGCATGGGAAGATATTTAGGGGTGGGGAGAGGGTGGGGTGGGGAGAGGGTGGGGTTGGAGGTGGGGTGGTGAAACAAGGCTACGGCGCTGCTGCCGCGCACGGCGCGGCTGGCCTAGCCGGCCTAGCGACGGTGGAGATGCGCCGTAGCTAGAAGAGAAGAGTAGTTGTCACGCAGCGGAATAAGGAGAAGCTAGGCTAAGCTGGGAAGGACGCCTAGCTCCAAGAGACGAGAGAGTAGACGAGAAGAAGAGATTCAAGAAGTAGAAAGTAGATCCAAGGATGAGATACAAGCAAGAAACAGAGAAGGTATTTATGCTAGGAACTAAGAAGAGCGACTTGGGAGGAAGCCCGCGTCGCCACTTTATCTAGCATGGCATCTTGGCATAGCGCCTCGATGCCATGCCTTGCTGTACAATTCCTCCTGACAAGGATACGGGAGAGTATTCTAGGCTAGCAGATGGCGTTGTTTGGAGCTAGCAAGGGAACACGAGTTTTCTACATGCATGGTGAATCCCGACTTGTTACAGGTGGGGTGGTGGGGAGAGGGGAGTTTGAGAAAGGGGGTGAAGGGGGGTGAAGGGGGGTAGGGTGTGTGTGACGAGTGGGAGAGAAATGAGGGTGAGAGTGCGGCTTTTTCCCAGCAGGGACGCGTTGGAGTACCCCGCTGCCTGCTGTAGCTCGCGGTAGGAGAAGCGGCGCAGGGGAGGGAAGCTGGGGGAAGGCTGTCTGTGCGCTGATATTGGCACCGAGGGATTCACTATGGGGTCGGGAGAGGGCGAGGGGGTAAAGGGTGGGGTGGAGGGAGGTGGGAGGGGGCGTGTTTGGGAAAGCGGGTAAAGGGGGTAGGGTGAGAGGGGGAGAAGAGAGGGAGAAGAGAGGGAGAAGAGAGGGAGGAGAAAGGGGAGAGATGGAGAGAGTACGGCCCTTTTCCAGCTGCAGAGACGCGGTAGGAGAAACGACGCAGGGAAGGGGGACAGGGGGAAGGCTGGCTGTGCGCTGATGGGGACACAGAGGGGTTTGGGAAGTAAGGGGGGTGGGGAAAAGAGGAAACAGAGGCGCGATTGGGGGAGGGGGAAGAGAGAACGAAGACACGGGGGAGGGAAGGGCCTAGCTGCAGAAAAGGGTGCATGAGAATACCCCCCTGCCTGACTCTTGAGTCGACTCAAAAGTCAGCTTGCATGAGAATACCCCGCCGCCTGCTGCATCCCGCTCTCGCTATGAGAGGAGAAACGGGAGGAGAGTTGATTGAGTGAGCGCAGGAGGGGAGACACCGCCGAAACAGCTGTTGGGTGGGTCTCACTACAACCGCGCCTCGACGCGTCTCACGCGCTGCAGCACCCGTGGCTCGCCGCGTCTCGCGCGCTACAGTACTTTCTGAGGCTATGAGGCTCGCCGCGTCTCACGGTACGAATCTGTCTCTGAGGCTTTTCGGAGAAGGCTCGCTTCGTTCGGGACCTGCTGCTATCGGCGGAACTACTACGATGAAAAAGCAACAGTCGCAAAGCTTTCTGTACTTCGTGGAAACGTGGAAATCGGGGCCTGCTGCATCTCGTTGATGTTACTTTTGAGAATTCTCAGAAGGGCAAAGCTTTTGTAACATCAACAAAGCTTTCTGTACTTCGTGGAAACGTGGAACTCGGAGCCTGCTGTATCTCGCTTTGGGTGTGATCGAGCAACATGTCTGAGTTTCGCAAACCCGAATGTCCCCAAAGAACTCGGGAAAAAAAGGCGAAGCTTGTGCACGAGAAACGCCAAAAAAAAAAAAGAAAAAAAATCGGAAGCAGGGATTATCAATCTTGGTAGCACAATGGACACGCTACGAAGAGCTCTCGCCGAGCTCGCCGCATCACTAATGCTGTGAGAACGATCTCGCTACATGCGACCACGCCAGAACCGACCTGCGCCATTCCCGCGCACAGCCGAGCGCTTCGAGGGCGTCGAGCCGAAGCACCCACAGCACGCAACGGCGTCATCATCGTCCATGCCGCGCGACGGGAACAACGACGACGACGACGGGAACGTCGACTCGCAAAGCGGTAAAGGACGTTGGTTATCTTGTCAGATCGCTGAATCGACGAACATTTCGTGGCTTCACTCGTTGAGTTCTGCGTCTGTCTGCTCGAGGAACTGGGAACGCAATACTAGTAGTTGAGCTGGGAAATAAATATGTGTAGCTTTTATGAAGTCAAGGTAATCAGTAGCATATATGAACTTGGACACGAAACTATCTGGTCTAACATCGACCCTAACCTGTTACACCGAAACACAATGACACGCTTGGCAAAGGAACATATATGCCTTCACTACTCGGACTTCAGTGGGACGATGCGTTGCTTCTTTTCTTATTTTTCAGCAGCCTCAAGGAACGCGTGAGCAGGGCGTAATGAGTTGAGTTGGCGTGCGTGGCGCACTGGCGCCCCGTTTTCCTCCTCCAACGGATACCCTGTGCGACGGAGCTCGGTGCTGTGATTGGGGCACCTGCTGAGTTTCCGTCGCACACGCTGTATGAATTCTCGCCATGGAGTCGTATTGAGCGTTACATTGACAGGTTGTACATCTCACACATTTACAGGTCTTGTATTGTGGCTCAGGACGGTCCAACAAGGTGAAAAGATATTCTCAAGGTTAACCGCAGTGGGCGTACAAAAAGTTGTACAATCCGACGTCGCCCTAAACGAAAGCTCCGGGTCTCGCGAGTCTTGGTCTGATTATCTTCTGTACGCGTCTATGCGAGTTACGTATTCTGTTGCAGTTACAGATGATTTGTTATGAGTTGTAATGGAGAGAGCGCGGAATAACGAATAACGAGAATGGAAATTACTGAATGACGATATATTGAAAGTGACGAGGCCTAAACAGGGGTAAAGCTAGCTAGGCGGGGAGGTCGGGCGAGGATGGCTCGGTGATGTTGCGATTGGAGTGGGGCCGACTCGGGAGTGGTTCGGTGCCAGGGCTGTTTTTATCAAGGTAATTACCCTGATTTCAGGGTGATTTCGGGCTTTCCACTTTGTGGAGACTGGAATTTCAGAATTAATGAGTTCTCAACCCTGATCCAATCAGAGTAAGGGTACATTCCGCGCTGGACATGTCCCAATCGAAAGTGTCTCAATCGTTTCTACCGCACTGCATCGTATTACACCAAATTGCACCCTAGTTTCGAAAATTTCGCGTCTCTGGTTTAGTTCGGTTCGGAGCGGTACACTCGATTGGGACACATCGATTGGGACAGTGTCCACAGCGGAATGTACCCTAATAGTTTTCGTATTCCTGATTTTGAGTACAGTGTAACAGACTAGCCTGTCAGTGGACCCTCACTTAACAGAGAATCGACTATGTGGTCCCTGAATTTGACCTTATTGAGAGGAAGGTTCTCGGAAATTTCCTTCCGATAACCCCGCCTTCGGATTGTTCGCAGTGCAGCCAGCGCGTGAGCGACCCCGAATAAGACATTATTGGGACAAAGCTTCTTCGAACTTTCGTTCCGACACACTCACCATCGAGATCGTACTGCGAGTTTCCAGGACACATTGTACGAATACCCCCATCTGCATAGCCCCTCGCTTTATCGGGAAGAAGGTTCTTCGAACTTTCGTTCCGATACACCCACCATCTAGGTTAAGTTTCGATAATGCACAGCGCGTTACTAGACTGATCCTGACTTCTCCACCCTAAACAATCAGACTATATAACTTCCCAACACTGAGCAATCAGGGTGATGTTTTTTCTGGAAAACATGCACCCATAATACAGGGGGGATTTTTTTTCCCAGATTCAGGGATGTCAGAATACTAAGCGAGAATGGGTGAAACTAACAGCATGCAGGAGTACAAGTAGCAAACCCTAATTGGGTTGTACCTCATATGGGCTACCCCACTACAGCCTACACAACATGATAGTTTGACACACCCCCATAGGCAAAGTGGGGGAGAACAAGGGGTCACAAGACCAGTCAAGAAAAGCAAAGCAAGCTCAGGGTGGATCACAAAGTCACCACACACTCTGAGCACAAGCAAATGGCCACAATGCCAGTTCACATGCAGAGTTATATAAAAAAAGAACAAGCAGTACAGTGATCACAACCTAGCAAGTGGAAGCATGCAGGTATATATGTATATAGATCACAGTACAAGCAAAGTCACGCAGTGAGCAAGTGAGACAAAGCAGGCAGAAGGATTAAAGCAGCACAGAAACGCTGATGATCACCAGACTGAAGTGCCTTGATAAATATATCAGCAGCGTCGGCCCGAGTGGCCACGTAAGCAAGACGAAGCTGACCACGCTGCTGCAACTCTCGAGCAAGGAAGTAACGCAGAGCGATGTGCTTCGTCCTGTGCTCCAGTCTGTGCTCCTGACACAAGGCAATCATGGCCTTGTTCTCTACGTACTGAATTGGAGGAGAACGAGGCCGCTCTCCCAAGTCGGTCAGCAGGTAGGTGAGCCAGCGTAGCTCCTGTGCAGCCATGACCCCTGCGTAGATCTCAGCCTCACAACTGGAGCTGAGAACAGAAGACGAGCGGGTAGAGAAACAGAGTCGGAGCCAAGGCTGAAGGTGTAACCCTGTGACGAGCGCTGCGTAGCCAAGTCGTCAACCCAAGAAGCGTCTGCGTGTCCAGTGAGGACAACTCGAGCCCGTCCTCCAAGCACGAGCCCCATGCCCGACGTACTGAACAAGTAGCGCAACACCCTCTTAGCGGCCTCCTAGTGCTCTGGTCGGTGTCTCCCGGGCGCAACGTAGCGTGCCAGGATGCTAAGAAGGTAGGCAAGGTCAGGTCGAGTGCAGGTCATCAGGTACATGAGGCAGCCCACAAGCTCTGGATACGGGCCACTCGGCTCTACGGACTCGTCCGAAGGTGGAGCTGAGAGCGAGTGACCGGTAGGCAGAGGAGTGGACTGTGGCGAGGAGAACTGGAAGCCGAAGCGCTGAAGGACCTGCTGCACCATGTGTGACTGAGTCAGGGTGATGTTGCACCGTGCTCTGTCCCGAGTGATATGCAAGCCAAGATAGCTGCGCAGCTCACCCAGGTCTGTGCACGTGTGTCTCTTCTGCAGCTCCGACTTCACAAGGGCCAGTGCCTCAGTGTCAGCAGTGGCAAAAACCAAGTCGTCGACGTACACGAGGATGTAGAACGGCGGCAGCGAAGTGTCGGTGCGCAGAAACAGCGACGAGTCAGCAGTCGAAGGAGGAAACCCAAAAGCCGCAAGTGTCGTCATCAGTGTGTCGTGCCATTCACGAGGCGCCTGGCGGAGACCGTAGACTGGCCGACGAAGGCTCCACTGGGTACCTGCAGGAAACGACCCAGTGAAGCCAAGTGGGCAGCGCAGCCAGATCTCCTCGTGCAGAGTGCCCTGTAAGAAAGCTGTGCTGAAGTCAAGAGAGTGAAGCTCGTAGTCATGCTGAGCAGCAACGTGCAGCAACACCCGAAGAGTGGTCATCTTCGGGGTAGGGGAGAAGGTCTGGAAGGAGTCAACTCCCTGTCGCTGACTAAAGCCTCGTGCAACGTAACGAGCCTTGAAGATAGACGGAGAAACCGGCTGCCGCTTCACCCTGAAAATCCACATGCCATCGACTAAGTTCGCCCCAGGAGGGGGAACCCCGTCGACGTAAGTGCCTGTGGACTTCCAGGATGCCATCTCTGCGTCCATGGCAGTCTGCCACTGAGAGGAGTAGGGACCCGTAATCGCCTCTGCGTAAGAGCGCGGGGTCGGGATGTCTAAAGCATCCGGGTCTCCCTCAGGTGCAAGCAACATGGCCACGAGATGAGGTACAGCAGCTGCAAAACACTCAAAGTCCTCCTGCCTGTCCTCAAGGACGTCCGTGCCGAGAGCACACTCACCCCCGAAGGACGGAGGACAGTCAGGCTCAGACTCAGCAACAAGACTAGCGCCGTAGTCGAGACGACAGGCGGCAGCAAAGTCAACAAGCTAAGCAACTAGGGCAGATGCAGGAGTGGACTCAAACGAAGGGTCAGTGACAACAGTGGCTAGAAGACGTGCGACAGTAGGACTGGCAGCACGAGCAAGGTCGGACGGCGGGTCAGGAACGTCAGGAAGAGAGGACGCAGGAGGAGACAACAGAGGGACACGGAACAGAGGAAGGACGAAGTACCATAGGGTGCGTGCCAGGGACAGGAGGAGGACGCTGACGAGGAACACGGCGACCAGCGCGAACAGCGCGAACAGGCGACGCAGGACGAGACGCGGGCTCACGACACTCTCCTAAACCTTCTGTCTGCTCAGTGTAAGGAGAAGGAGCAGGTAGTGGGGAGGCTGGCTGTAACTGCTCTCGCGACTGGTCAGGCGGTGGACACAGTAAGGGAGGAGTAAGGCCAGTAGAAGACGGGAGACCAAGAACCTGCTGAAGCAGTGGAACGAAGTACGGTCGCAGCCGCACAGTGCCTCCAGAACCAGCACCGACAGCACCAGCACCCCCAGGGCCAGCACCTCCAGCTCCGGGGTCTCCAGCTCCAACGCCTGCAGCACCACCAGCTCCAGCAGCTCCAGTACCTCCAGTACGAGCGCCTCCGGGACCAGCGGCTCCAGTATCTCCAGCAGCTCCAGCTCCAGCACCTCCAGCACCTCCGGCTCCAACGCCTGCAGCACCACCAGCTCCAGCAGCTCCTGTACCTCCAGTACGATCACCTCCGGGACCAGCGGCTCCAGCACCTCCAGCACCTCCAGGACCAGAAGCTCCCGGCTCCAACGCCTGTAGTACCACCAGCTCCAGCAGCTCCAGTACCTCCAGTACGAGCACCTCCGGGACCAGCGGCTCCAGCACCTCCAGCACCTCCAGGACCAGCAGCTCCAGCACCTCCAGGACCAGCAGCTCCAGTGCCTCCAGCTCCAGGGCCTCCAGCGGCAGGCCCCCCAGCTCCAGCAACGCCACTCTGAAGACTCCAGCGCCGAGCAAACCACTCGCGCAGCTGCGGTGGAGAGAGAGGCTCCCGCTGGACGAGGCACCCGGAGAACCTCCAGCACCTCCAGGG